CGAGGGGTTATGGACGCGCGGAAACAACTTGGAGAATTTATGTCTTTCCTCGTGCGGGAGATTTACAGAATTTTGAAGTTGAAGCAGGAGATGACAGGGAATACTACGGATGACTATCCTACCCAGTATGTTGTGACTTCGCTATTGCACTTTTGTTTTCAGCGTTGGTGTGTTTTCTTCATCAGATTTTGGTTGTCAGCTCAGGATGGCTTCGATTTTAACTCCTCGACTTAGTTCTACTGACATAATGGATTCTCCATAACAGACTTAGAAGTTTACCCACAGAGCACGAGCTGCGCACTATGTGTGGAGAGGATGAGTTCTATACATAGGTGAAAAGACAAATGCTCATCTTTCAAAAACAACATCGGAATATGGGCCACCCAAACCTGACTGAACCTATGCCACCATCATCGAGTATTCAGTCTGGAAGTAAAGCTTGGCATGCAATGCTTTGGTGCAAAATTGAGCCTGGGGAGGGATATGTACTGTACATTGTGCATATACATATAGATCCGGCATCAATTCAAATTACGCATATGTATTAGGTTGTTGCTCTTGGAGGAAGAAAGTGAGAATAAAATAGAGAACTAAGGGAGGATAGGGGATGACAAAGGGTATGGGATGAAAGCCATCTGAAACCTCGTTCTTTATCTCTTCGGTAAACAATCCTATCCCCATTCTAAAAAATAATGCACAGTTTTGTTCAGCAAGTTATCAACGAGCAATATCTGTAATTGCAGAGGGGGCCTCCTTGGGATTACGCATAGTAGTGATAATTTTCAGGCCTGTCAATTATTTTTTTTTTTTAGTCCCTGTATATTAAATATAAGTATTTAGTTCTCTTTTATATATGTCATAAACAATGTAATTGTTCATTATATAATTCAAGATGGCGCCAGGGGGTTTCCAAAGGAAATTAATGATACTGAGGTTTGGAAATATATATTTGTATCCTGGAACCAGGCTCATTAAGAATTACAGGCCACAATATGCGAATCCGATTAATGGAATAGGTAGAATCAAAAGGAAGATTAAAAAGAATTTTAAAAAGAAGGGGGACGAAAAAGAACAGACGAAAGAGCAGAAGAAAACAGACAAAGAAGATTAATATGATAGGGCAACATTTCCCTCCTTTCAAGGCTATAAGCTGATTTCGCTGTACAAGTCTCCCAGTTCCAACTTTCACAAAGTTCATTTTTAAATATTTCCAAAAGTGAATGTAGCCCAGTTCACGGCTGGTCCTGTTTCTGGGGAATAGATCTGGTATGGATTCTGGCCCCATTCTGGGTTGCTGATACCGTCAATCCAGTCTTCTTTCTCGATGACGATACAGCCATATTTGTTGATAACATCCACATACTCGTGACCACCTTCCATTTTATTCCGGTTGGTCTGAGATTTCTTGACAGGGATAGTCCCGTTCTGATTATTGCAACTATAGATTTGAACAGCCTTTTGGTTCGTGGTGACTTGCATGCTGATCCCAGTGGTCCGGGACGCCATCCTCAGAACGACAGCCATAGTTTCCGGAGACGAGGTCCAGTCTGATTCACTATTGGGGCGGTCAATGATGAATGCGTTGTCATAACCTGTACAATTGGCACCACAATTCTTAGCCGAGGCGATGTCTTTGCCAATGAGCTTGGGCTGGGTGAAGTCGAGGGCACCGCCAAATGCCGTTGCGGTATCTACGAGTTCGCCTGTTGGTATTGCGGAGGAATCGATTTTTATAAATCTTTTTGACAGCGGCAGCTGCAAGGTAGTATCCTCCAACACGTTAGGCTTCTTAAACCCATTTAGGTTCCAGTAAATATGGTGTGACAACATGATGGGTGTCTCCTCCGTTAAGGCAAGTGATACCGTTTTTGCGGTCAGTTTGGTTTCGCATTTTGTGTCGTCTTTAGTGCATGAAGAACGAACACTGAGGGTGGCATATGTGATAACTTCACCTGGGAAACCTTCAAAGCAGGTGTCGAGGAGACTGAAGGTGATAGAGTTTTCAGTGTGATTTACCACCGTCCAAGGGCGCTGATCATATCCGATAACACCTCCATGCAGTGTCTGGGTGTCATGGTTTTCATTCTTTGTGATGTCGTACCTAACACCGTCGAGCTCAAAGGAGCCGTTTTTGATTCTGTTGGCGTATCTCCCTACGATGCAGCCAAAATACGTATGGTTGGTCTCAGTGTCGATTTTATATTGTTTCGGGTCATCGTAACCGACGACAACATCCTGTTGCTTGCCATCGCGGTCGTTGACTAGAAGTGAAGTTAGGGTGGCACCATACGGAATTAATGTTGCTTGAATGTTCTTCGCAGAAATAACATAAGGTTGAAATGGGTCTGACGACGTAGTAGGGTTTGAGCTCGCCAGGGGAGGAGCACCCAATAGCAGCACGGACGAAAGTAAAGCGGGTAGTTTGATATACATTGGGACGATGAGGAGACAAGTGATAATGATATCTAAGAGACTGTAGGTGGTGAAAATGAGATTTGGGGGGATGATAGATGAGGATAAGGAGAGGAAAAATTGAAGACCGCCATATAATTTCTAGCATTCCATGGCCTTCTCCAACGGGAGGGAAAACGCGAGGGGAGACTGAAAATCAGTCACTTAGTGACATTCCAGGCGCAACAGGGATACCATGGAATAGAAAGGCTTAGCGATGATGTCGAATATTGATTGGGCGTTTCCAGGGAATAGAAGACAAAAAAGCCGAACTCAATACACTCATGGTAAGGCTAGTTTCTACACGGGAAGACAAAGCCTGAGTGAAATTGCAATGTAGTCATCATTTTTGTACCCTTTTGGTGGTACTGTACATTTGCCCATGCAGGGTGTGCCGGCTTCTGGCTCAGATAGCCTTTGGTGAATGTACCAGATCTCCGCCTTGGATACCTGATTTTGATTAATTTTTTCTCCCTCTGGAAACAAGGATTCGGATCCGTTGATTTCTGGAACGGAATGGGATATTCCCCGTTATTATACGCTTCTCTCTAAGTTTATGTGTAATAAAAGGTGTATTTATATGCTTCAGTGGAGCAATAAACTACTCCGTCGCCTAGGATGGCCCGATACATGATGCGCATCCTCCTGAAAAACTCGGACGTCGAGTTAAAACCACGCACAATAGCAACTGTAGTTGGGTGGCTACTGCGCCAAGCGATGTCATTTGGCACTCCACAAATGAGATCGTCATCATTTCTGAAATATTGTTTGCGCACCAATAATGATCTTCAGATTTCAAGAAAGGTTGTTGCTGGTAAGCTGCAAGGTCCAGGATTGTCGCGCAAAATCTTGTTTGGCACTAGAATACTGCTGTCAATTCGATACGCTTTCATGGAAACATCGAATATACAGACATAAAGTTCAAAAGATTAAATCGATGTTCGATAAAATTCACAAGGGTACCATGGTAGGTTGCGGGAAGAAAAGAAGCATAACATAGTGCCCCACTTATTTCCTTCCTTGGTATTGTAAGAGTTGTGAGCCAGAAACTTTATCCGTCATGACGGAATATAATATTTCCATTTCCGAACAGGTGTAAACAAAGCGCACGTGCCACGATCCCGAATAGGCAAAGTCGCCCAATCCATCAGGGCCATAACTTGAGCAAGTGTGGCGTTTCTGTGGACGATGCATAACAACTGTCTGATCAAATTATCCAATGTTTAATGGCTTATCTTCCCTGGCGATTCAACGTGACTATACCATCATCTATGGCGTGCAATATATCGCCCTGATGGAATAGCCGGACAAATCCCTACCCGACAGCCGCGACTCAATTTCCACTTGGAAATCTCCCTAATGAACCCCTCCGGATCGCGAGTCCAAAGTCGCAATGGATGATAAGAGTGATAGCTCGTCTCCCGATCCACTGGGCTACCCCGGCGACCCAGATTATATCCTCTCCTCAGCGACGAAACCCTTTTTGCGACGCGGAAGCACTTTTTCGCCACGAAAGTCCGTTTCTCCTATCAGGAGCCTATCACCCACTAAGGATGGGAGGAGCGCGCGGTCCATTAGATTTGAAGATATAATTCTCCCTTCTACTCCATCCGGGCGTTTTAATGGCAAACATAGATTATCCCCAACGAAGACGGCAACGCTAAATTCGGAGGGTAATACCAGTCCCTGGAGGATCCGAGTGACGGTCGAGGCAGAACAAGATGAGGGTGATGAGAATTTTCCAGTGAGCATGCGATCAAATGTGAAGTCGCGAAGAGGAAGAACAACCAAAGTGCCTTTAAAAGATGAAAATAGCCCCTCGGAGCGAAGCCCTAAAAAAAGACGAACGGGAAAATCGGACCTGTCGCAACGGGTTCCAACACCTCGAAAACGACGAAGCAGGGTTGAAACCCCGTCAGGAAATACGAGCACTACTCAAAAGACAAAGCGAGGAAGGCCTAGGAAAAGCCAGGCTACAGTGGAAGAAGGCAATGTGATAGACAATAAAGTCACATTTGCCGATTCGGTACGGAAAAAGATGCAGGAAGAAGATCCTTTTTTGGACATTGCGACGGAAGATAAAGGAACCAACCACGCCGCTGCCGATAATACACTTCCAGGGGGTTTTGACCCGAGTCCCGTTCCTGATTTTATTCCTACCCGCGGTTATGATAGATCGTCGCCATCGCCAAATGAGAGGACTAGCTCGCAAAATCCTGACGGAGTGGAAAACTCAGTTCATGATGCTCCCACGAGCTCTATCTCCTCTCCATACTCTCCACGATTACATACCGGCCTCACTCCCGAAAACACAATCGATGCTGGGCATACTCCTGGTCCACAGGTTAGAGGATATCCTACCCCGACCTCGTCATCCTTATTAGAAGAAGGTATTACCGACATCCCTACGGGCCATACTTCAAGTCCAAAAATACAACAACACGAACCAGTCCTTCAGCCATTAAGTGACCCAACAAACCAACATCGAGAATTTGACTCGATTCTAGAAAGTGAAGGTTTCAGCATGGTGTCACTTAATACCTTGCCCTCGGCGAGCCAGCAGCTTAGTAATTCGTTTCAAAGAGCCGTGAACCAAGGAATGATTAACAGTATGAAGAAGGCGTCAAAGAAAGAGATGTTAAGCTCGTCGATATCTGAAGCTCGACACTCTGAGCTATCTGCTTCTGGCAATTCCGATAAAGGTAGTGGATATATGTCCTCTTCACAACCTCAACCAAAGTCACAACTATCACCACAGATGAGAAGAGATCCACCAGAAATCCATGAAACTCCAGGAACAGGGTTTTCGTCCTCACAGCAGCCCCCCGAACCCGCCATTCAGTCCTCACGGCCTTTTAAAAAGACACGACTCGTGAAGTTAGTACGAGTAATAAGAGCGGGTATTGCGCTTCAGGGAGTTCTTAATCGACGTAGGAGGAATTCGCGGCTGCAAAGCCCCTTCTCAAGCCCAGGCCATACTCGAGTAGATGATTCGGAATCTGTAAAGAAACGTCTGGATGCACTCTTTCAGGGATTTGGTGCTGAGACAGAACGAGAACTACGTGCCGGTCTTCGCTTTGGGGAAAAACTTGCGAAGCTTCGAGAGGTTGAGAGCAGAAGAAGGCGTGATGAACCAGGACCGGTAACTATATCACCAATGACACCAGATGGCTTTGCAACTAATGAGCGAAAAATCGTGGGGCATCCAGAAAGGAGCAGTTCTGGAAGGAAATGGATATCTTCGGATTCGGCGAAGGAACGAACAAAGAGAAAGCTGAATAGGGGTTCTGTGCAACTTACGAGTAATCCCAGGAACCAAAATCAATCTCCCCAGCTGTCGATTAGCCGAGAAATGGCGCGACGTGAAGCACTGTGGCAGCGTGAGAGAGATGCAATTAGTCACCAAATACAGGAGGCAAATTCGAGCCAGGTTATTGTTATTGATAGTGACCGAGGTAGTTCAGAAAGCGATAATCCAATCAATGAAGGGGCCGAGGAACACAATGAAAACGATCCTACGAAAGAAGGAGATTACGACGATATATGGCAGCAAGAGGCTCGTGAAACTGAGATCCAGTCAGAGTCAGCGTCATTCATCGAACTTAGTCGGGAGGAACTTATCAAGCCCCCGCGGAGGGTTCTTCCCAGCCCGTGGAAACGCAACGGAGACGTTGTTAATCTCAGCCAAGACGAAGAAGGAACTCCTGGGCCTGGTCCATACTGGACAACTCGCACCAATGGATATCCTATATTACCCAGCGGGAAAAGCCAAACCGCAAGATTCAGAGAACAAAATGTTGAAAGTTCATCATTACTGGGCTCTCCAGAAAGCGCCACAAGGAGATTTTATCTGGTGAATAATGTTTCCTCTGAAGGCAAATCCAACCCGTCTGAACAGCTTGAGGACCTGCAACTTACGCCTAAAATACCCTCGAGTCCTACCTTCGTTGCTTCCTACAGGCGAGATGAGACTTCCCACACTGATGACCAAACCTCTGACGCTAATGCTATCCATCATCCATGGGCTCCTTCACCTGAAAGCAGCAAAATTGATATAGGCCACACGAGTCCAGATAATGTCGACGTATATTCCGAGACTCCAGTGGAGGATGGCCATTTGTATCCGGAATTGCCCTCTAATTCGGTTTATTCGTCAAGAAACAATCCAGTTGATGAAGAGCAAATAACTTCCAAATCAGAATCACAAAACTCGACCCCTCGAGCCCGCAAAGATGACCAGCGTGATCGGGAACCGTATACTCCCACCGGAGCACAGCAGGAGCGTCGTCCGTTATCTTGGTTCAACAAGTTGACAGACCTTGCTCCATCGTGGCTTACCACTCCAGTCTCTCGAAAGGTTGAAAGAAGTCAACCAGAAGCAGTCAGCAAATCTGCGTTCGCTGTATCCCCGAACCGTAGTCTTTCAATCCAGAGCGCGTCTGTTCAAGGGTCTCCTACTCAAAATCATTTAGTTTCAAGTCCACCAACTCAGCCTCCTCCAATTGACAGTTCTCCGATTCAGGAATTGCCAGTACAGGAACCAATTGCTGAAGATGGCCATTTACAAGTACCACCAACAGAGTCTCGAGCGGAAGGCTCTCCCGCCCATCAATACCTTCATAAATCCAGCAACCAGATGACAGTTGACGCCGGAACCCAATTCTCCTCTCCATTAATACCGAAGCCAAAACCTCGAATTAGAGGTCAACAAAGACAACCGCACGCGCAACACAAGGCATTGCCAATCTCAGGCTATTTCACAGATGACCATTATGCCGCACTGCGCCATCTATACCACAAGGCAAAACGATCCCCGGGTTCCTTCCGCTATATCGAGACTCTAGGCCGAAAAAAATTGTTAGGTCAGCGTATATATTCCGCTGATGGCGTATACAGCCGTCGGATTACAGAAATGCAAATTGCCATTGTGGATAAATTCAGACGGAATTTGTCTGTTGACAGTAGGAAACGCGGTGGAACTGGGAAGGTGGAATGGAGTGAAGCAGAGCTTTTGAGGAGATTGTTCAGCATAATTGTAGGTGAACATGTGAGGAGGGAGCGGAAAAGAGATCTTGAACAGCAGCTTGCGGACCTACATGAATAAACCAGTCATTCCACTTCCTCAGAAAAGAATTTTCAATCATATTTTGGGTTATGGATGTTTTGGGGATTGGCCGCTGGTTCTTGTATCGAAATACGTTCCACGTTGCATTCTTCCCACGTTGGTTTATCCTGACGCGCAGCATGATTCATGGCTCGCCAGCATCTTATTTTCATTTTATATTTCGATACCAGATTTCAGTCATTGGTGCCTCAGGATGGTTGGACTTCAAGCATTTGGTGTTGCAGGCCTTCCCTTTTTTCGACACATTTTAAGCATTTTGGTTGATATGTTTACAACCCACATTGTGGTGATGGAACATTGTTATTTAACTGCATATTCCATCTTACCTTTCAATTATTTTCGCTTTTTTTTTCCCCCCCTGTGTTGCTCATGAACACTCTGCATAGGTGTGCAATTGTTGGAGCTGCCGGATTGTTATAGTACTTGAGAAACGATGGGTATCTATTCAAAAATACCCACCTACCTGTGGGTGCTTTCTGCTTGCAAGCCGAATGCGGGGCACGATATGCTGTTTGTGTACCGTAATGTGTGCTCTCTGTATCCCATTTCCATTTTGTATATTCATGGGAAAACTCAATGAAATATATGTCTGCTTGTTCTCTTTATGTAACGTGAGTGAATACATTCTCTTGAGTCAGACCGTGACATCAAGAGCCGTATTTATCATACCTATTTCTTTTTTTCTGGGCGATAATCTCCAGAGTAGTCAGGTCATATAACACCCAAAGACAAGTTCTCGCTGATCCGATTTTCTCTCTCACTCTTCTTCACTACTCTTTAATTTTCATCAACTTAGAGGCCTACATTTTTCTAAGTTGTTCATCCTCCCTAGTTCCCAAATCTCCATTCATTCTTCTATAGGGCAGCCAGCCATGACTTGGCGGGTTCAACCAGACGGTGTGTAAAACCCATCAATGAGGATGTTACAGTCCTACTTTTCCAGGTAAATTATTGACAAAAGTTCACTTCTTTCAAGAGATACTTGAACAGAACCCCAACCCCAGTGAAGCCATGAACCAAGTCAATCGTAAAGAAACGGCTGAGAAGTGGGTGTCTGACATGATGCGTGACGCGGAAGGGTATCATTTATATAATGAAGGGGATAGAGAGCTGCTGTTAAAATACGGAAACAACACGGACATCAATCCCGGGAACGAATTTAAAGAAGAACCTAAGCCAAAGTACGAAACTACTGAAGGAACCCACAACGCGGTCCTCTCCAATCGCACCACTAAATTTACGGGGACAGCGGATGCCAGACGCCTTTGGAGCGCTGCCCATGAAAAGGAGCTCAAGCGTTGTCTTCTCGAAGATAGGAAGTGTCCTATGGAATGGGATGCTAACGACCCCCGGTTTGCACACGTCAGTAGACACCCATTAACTTCCTATCATTATGCTGAAATTCTTCAAAATATCGTTAAAATAGTCCATTAAAAGAGGGGGGGTGTGAAAAAGAAATCCCAAGGAACACTTCCGTATCAACTAAAATTTCAACTTATATAGATGGTCAAGCTCATGGAGAAAAAGGAAGCCCATGACGAATTTACCAGACATCGCGCATTTCACGAAATGAATGAAGGTTGGATGTACCGAACCATCACCAGCGAACGGATAAAAGCCAGGAAGGCGATGCCAATGGGTTTCTACCATACCGTGAGTAGTGGGCTAAATTTCGTTACCATTACGATTCCATATCTTCTCTAGCCATTTGGTTTGGTCACCAGTTTGATATTGGATTATACCTGAAGTTGATTTGGGCAATAGACCGCAAATGAGAACTCTCCAAACAATTACAAGCACGAAGACTAGGAGGCGGTGGCTGGCGCCGTACAATCAATCACTTGTTGCAAACTTGCGTCCAAGGTAAAGTTTTGGACCAACTGAAAGCTGCGGTACAGTATCCTTGGGACCTGTCTGGGAAAAAATGATGTTTTCAGCTTGTGCTGTACATGATAATCTCGTTTTGGCAGACCTATTCTCAAGAGGTGTGCTCGCTCTTCTTTATAGTTCGCGCTATTGTTTCCAATATATCTTATGATTGTTTTCCTAGTGGAACTGACATGCTAAATACTGGGAGCCTTACAATCGTATGAAGGAAGGACTTGTACTGTACTTCAGAGTATCTCGTGTGGGTCCTAGTGACGCTCACATCATGCGGTTGATGTCTGCCAAAAAGCGATAAATACACTTGGACCCGTGTACTTTCTTCATTGGCTGTATGTTGATCAGAGAGTTATTAATTAAAATACTGGGGATAAAACCCGTAATCTATTGATGGCTGGATATATAAGGATGACCCAACATAGTGAAAAAGGGTGTAGATAAATCTCAGGGCACGAACAAAACTTGAGACCTCCCCCCTCGTTCTTTGGAAGATAGAAGAAACAAACTCTCAAAGAAAATCGGAATATCGTCTGGAGGTATTGTACTATTATTCATGATAAACTTTTACTATCGGCCTACATCCTCCAGCCATTATGTCCACTGATGACTAACAAACATATCACAGAATATAAGGAGTTGCCGAATCCTAAAATTGGCATCTGCCGATTCCTAGCACTGGAACTAGACGGTGTAGCACTGGCTTTCCCACTGGATTCCCCTCTGGTAGAAGTTGGGATTCGTCGGGTCAACACCAGATTGCCCGATGGACGGTAGGGTCAGCGCTAAGGATCGACGTCCCATGAATGAGGAGTTGAACTGGGGCAGGGCGGGGCTGTAATTTTTGATGCCTGACGGGAATAGTCTGACAGCTCAACACCAGTGGGAGACAGAGAGGCGAAACGGGATTTCAAATTTGTGAAGTCTGGTTTAATAGGGGTGGGAGTACCACGGCGGGAGAAACCGTCGAGAGCTGACGGATTAGACTTGTCACCTTCAGGCGGCTTCCCGTATGTAATCAGGCCATAATTATTCAGCTCCTCTATCCACTCGTACACCATCGCGCCAGACCACGTCCCTGTCATCTCTGGCCCAAGGATAGCATTGAGATCCTCGAACTCGCGTGGTCGGACGGTATTGCAACCAGTTTCGGAAAAGAAAATCGGAACGGGGTAGCCCTCTGCTTGGTCATTCAAGTTGCTATAGCCAGAAACTTCAAATGTTGATTTACCACACCATTCGTAAGCGTTGAGAGCAAAAAAGTCTAATCTTTCTGATTCATCTTCCCGACAAACCAGATAGTTCTGCAACATAGGGCGCAGCTCTGCAATATCAGCAGCGGAATAACCGACCGGTATCTTCCGATAATTCTTGGAATCACGATAGGCCTTGATATCTCGAGTTGCAGATAGAATATACGGAGCTGCGACGGAATCATTTGCTGTGGTGAGAACCTCATTTCCCACGAAGACTCCAGCTGTGTTGTCGTACTTCTGAAATTCATCCAGGGTTAATTTGAACGCGTCGAATTGCCTTTGACTCCAAATAGGGGATTTCTAATTTGCAGAGATTGATTGATTATCAGATTTTGGTCAAATAAGTAAATGTCATTCTGGACAGGTCTATTTCTTGGATCCTGCTGGCCAATGGTACATACCCCTTCGATTTGGGTTGGAAAGTCGTCCAAGTCAACAAATAGGTATATCCCTGCATCTGCGAACGTCTTCATGCACTCTTCATGATCTCCATCGGGATCAACATGATAGACTCGGATAGCGTTCGCACCAAGCTCCTTCATCAAGGAAGAGTCTAGTTTGCACTGTTCCGAGTCCACAAGGGGGTCTTTAGGAGTGAGCTGGTACGCAATTCCTTTTCTCTAAAAATTAGAATGAGTTCACCAATGAGATGATGGTGACCAGAATAAATGTTACCCTTGACGAAAAACTGCTGACCCTCTTCATTGAAAAATTTCGAGCCTACAGCAGAGAGCTTTGATATTGCAAGAACATCATGAACCAACAACAATAGGTATATCCCCACAACTGCAGCGAATAAAGCACTACAGCTCCACATTGTATCGCTGCTAGTAGAGACGCGAATAAGCAGTCGAATAAGCAATTGATGCGATCAGTGATGCTGAAACTGATTAAGGAAGGAATCAAAGAAATGATGAAAAACCACACGCGCTCAATATTGGCTCCAGCAAGGCAGAAATCCTCAGAAGATCTGCGCTTGGCAGAGGCTGTAGTAGTGTGCAATTCCGCAGGGGATTAAACGAGCACACTATGGGCGTAATGGCAGAAATGATACCAAAATGAGTGAGGAAGGGAATGATAATTGAGAAATGGATGGGGGGAGTGAGAGAAGTGAAGTGAGCCAGGACACCAAGAACCCTGTCGTGGGAGTGATTTCATTCCAAGGAGTGTAAGCATTTAAAATCGTAACTCCGCTCGTCTAAATGACGTGGGGGCTCGCAACAGTTAGAATTTATCCAAGGAATCGCTCCCAATCGTTTTCAATTTATTTGTTTCCAGAGGCATCTCAGTCGGTGCTGGACTTCGCGTATCAACGAAGTCTCGAGCCTCGATATCGCCATTTCGCTGAATGTCTCCAAATTAATCGCTGAGATCGAGCTTGAAAGGACATACTAAGTCAAAATTTTCAGCTGAAAGGGAAGAAGTTTCAATTTCAATCATCCTCTGTTCAAAGAAGTAACGTTATCACCAGAACTTGTAATCAGAGGAGGGAGGGGTTTAAATGTGTAATAACCATACAACCATAGACTGGCTGGGAGCCAAGGCGGATGGCGCGACGGATGCTGGGTGTTTAAATCTTTCTTGACGAAATCCATATTGGTTAACTAGAATATAACGTCGATTCCTTTTGCACGCTTTCGGATAGGTTTGGAAGAAATAAGCTGTCGATTTAAGCTTCATATGCTTGAAAACGGTTCCAGGGTTCTCCTCCGCCCATGCCGAGTCGTTGCCATCGGGAACCATGTGCATCCCGATTCAACGGCGACTTGGGTCATCTACCTCGAAAGCGTGAAACGTACCTGAACGATTGACAATCTTTTTTCTTTGCTTTCATTACTTTTCATCCTTTTTTTAGGAAAAGATGCAGTTTATGTTCATCGAACTTTTCTCATTTCCCTTTTCATTGTTGCTCCCAACCACCAAGGATGAATGCAATTTCTTAAACCAGCAAATTCTTTGATTCTATAGACTTGTCAGAAGTGATATATCATATCTCAGATTCTACTGATTACGTTAACAAGGATCTTCTATTGTGACAATATCGGAAACCGGATGGATGTTCCGATAAGATATCAGCACTGCCCCTATCATATGTTCAAGCATCTTCTTTCTTATAAATACTGCCTAGATATCATGTAATTACTGGAGTTAATAGAAAAAATTCAATTATTCTTTTGATATTCAGTATTTGGGTCAATATTCGGACTTTATCTAGTTCCGACAAGACTTCATACCAAAACCCCCTGGCTAAGTTACAAAGACAAAAGAATCGGTACATTAAACGCGGACATAATCTGGGCGTTTAAATACTATTTATATATAACCCGAAAGTTTTTGAGCTCTCTTGAAACGAACCTCTCCGACGATACGAATACCACGTCAAATAGGCCGGAAACATCATTTCAAATTTGGAGCTCTTCTTTGCCAGTGAAACACTGTCATAGCTGGGAATTATACAGATACCATGCAGAACGGTTACACAAATTTATTATACAATAAATTCTTAAACTGCTGGTAAAATGATGGAAGTCATAAATCATCCATCGTTGACATTCCGTCTCGCTTATTATTACTTGGACGGTCCCACTTTTGGAGGGTAGAGAACGAACCCGCTTTTGTTTTGCATACTATGATGTATACTATGTAGTATATTTGGACCATGAACACGGACCGGCGAACAACAAAGACGAGACCACAGAACCTCCGTTTTATTGTCGTGTGCCCTCCTGAAGAGCATCTAGAACATCTCACACGGCCGTGCTTAGGTCAAACTGGGTACGGCCTCCCTTCAATCTTGTTTCCTTTTTATTTCCGCAACGTTTCACCCCCAGTTTTATGGAAATAAACAAGGGTAGAAAGGAGAGCGTTATCCACCTACTTGTTTTTCTGGAACGGAGCCCACACATGTCCACTTAGGTAACCTGTTTTGGTACCTGTTTTGTTCGTACAGTACGTTATTACCGGCTTGATCATAAAACATTCAGATAGAGAAATTAAAGGTCAGCCAGACATAGATCAAGGACCTTTTATGCGTTTTTCACCGCCCGCTGGTAAACCTGCGCTTTTCTGCTTTTCTGTTAACTTTCTTCTCTGATCTGCTAAGTTAAATTCAAATGGAATTCGTGCGATATTGAAATATGACTGGATCACTAGTGAACAGTGCCAACACACAACGATGCTCGGAAACACTTGCTGTTCATGGCAGGGGCCCGAACAATCCCGAGTTCTTGATATTCTTGATACCGTGGCGATCAATAATATGAACCTGTGACAAGCTTGGCGTTCCCCCGTTAGGTAGGTTACCAAGTTTGAGAGATGTGTTTGCAATGGATGAATGAATGACATCAATAGAGCCATTCACTTGTTGAGCCTTGGATTCGAAGTCCAACAGCAACGCTCTCACTACGCCTGCTGAGCAAGCTGTGAGCGGGGTTTGTGAACCGCAACTCATGTTCTCTTGGTGAGTACTAAGCGCGACTGAGAAGGGAGGAGACCGTATCACAACTTGGCTATACCATTTGGATATTATCAGTCGGCTTGCCAAACAACGTCTGTGCCGAGGGGCACTGCAGTCAAACTCAATGACCAGGTAGAAATTTCAACAAAATCCACAAACAAACACTCTTTCTGAGTTCTTAGAGCCCATTATTGCTGGCACTTTCTAACCCGACGACACGGGATGATGTATGAAGCAGTTGGTTACAAGCCATGAAACCAACAAAAGGCTCCATTTGTCCAAGGGGAGTTTCTAGCTGAGATGATCTTTGTGCAGGAAATTCATTCGGGAATCTAGGGCATCGATAGCAATACGTGCCAAGGGGGAAATAGCTCTCCCGTGGTGTGACAGACGCACAGATAGAGAGGGCAGAACGCTTTCAAAGAAGCCAGACTTGCATCTGCTAGGTTAGTTATCCGAGATCCCAAGGCGGGAAAGGGAAGCAAGGGCTCCGCTTGAGAACACAATGAGCCAAGAACTGTGTCGTTGTGATCCTGCCTAGTCTCAGGTGTGAGGGAAGGAATAGATTTGTGGCGCATGTTTCCCCTCGATATGTTTGGGGTTTCTTGCTTCTTAATTTTTTCTTGTTGATTACAGCAGATTACACCGAACTATGTCGTTCCATAACTTTTACCGACATGCCCTGACTTGCGAGCTGGCGGGGCTAGCATTGATTGGTACTCAAGTTCCTATGGGTGGGATACAGAATTGCGTGTCCTTGCCCCAGAATTATGGGTCGATGGGGACCGATTGCCCTGCATGAAACGGACAATAATAAACAGTCGCCACGGGAAACTGGAAAAAGCAAGGCGACGCCAGATCTCGGTAAACGTTCTCTGCACATGGGGCGATCGTGATTGATCCTCCTCGCTTGGCACACTCCCATCAGTTTAAAGATGAATTTAAATGGTTCGTTCCGACGGACTCGAACTTTAAGCGGACAGCAGGCGCGCTTCTTTTTTGGCATGATCATCATGTTGCAACTCCGCCTCAGCCCAAATCGAGCCAAATGCATTTCAGTTTTATTAGTAGCTTTTCACGCAGCGACAGAATGCACCCCTATATCAGGCTACCAAGCAAAGCGGAGAAGCTTGCAGGCCATCTGCGATAATTCTTTTTTGCCTTATTTATTATCTAGCGAATCACGTGGGCACTTCCCATCAGCAATAACGAACCCAACAAGATCTAGCCCGCTATTGGCTGGAGTTCTTGACAATATTAGCCTCGAGCTTTGCGAACCATTCAACCCAAAAAGCGGAACTCCCAGAAGCCTTGAGAGGCAGGGGGAAGCTGGGTGGTCGCGCGCAGCTAGCCGAGTGATCGATTTTGAGTCATATCCCCAATCATCCTATGAATCCCCCTCGGAACTCGATTTACTCCAATTTTGACCCGGTAATTTATTTATTCTTGTGTACTTCATGCAGAGCCTCGCCCTAGGGCTGAAATTTCCTCGCAAGAACCGGCCAGTTTGGTTTTCAAAGAGCGAGCCCGACTGTGATTATGGCTCAATAAAGACGGACCCAGAACCTGCATCCCGAGAAAAAGGGACGCTAGATTCTTGGCAGAAGGCATGTTCGTTTTGTCCAAGAAGCAAGGGGGAGCGCTGGACGCTATACCTTGCTTCCACCATATGGGATTTCAGGTGGTTTCGAGAAAGCGTGCCTCAACACTAACAAATGCGAGTCTCCGGGCCACCACCGGCGCCGCAGCCACATCCACGAGAAGCCGAATCCCTTATCGTTGCTCAGCATGGTGCAACGAGTTCAGTCTCACTCTCTCGGGATCTAAAGCAAATGGCGAGCTATGCTGAGCTATAATTTGGTTGGCAGCCAACTCAAGCCTCAATAATTTTCCTCTATGCAAAGTGTTGGACGGAGGAATTACCATCCCGAGTATGCGGCGCTCGACCGCATGAGCTACATATTTTCTCCTTGGGTCCCATGCCGCTGCGCCAATTTCTTTCCGCTCTAAAATCCCTATTAATAGTAGCTGCCAAGCGAGAGATTAAAAGATGATGGATGAGAAGGAGGAGAAGAGGAGAGGGTACAGCAGAAGAGCTTGAAGCAAATTAAGCAGAACTTGCAGGGTGGGATCGCGACTTGTTGGTTGAGCTACGGCTGTACAGGGATGAATCCATGCAACAAGAGATCTGTGCGCTTGCACTCTTCGTATATTCCTCTTTGGGCTTGCCCTTTTTTTCCCTTTTTTTCTTTTTGCCTTTCCCTTCGTTTATCAAAACTTCAGAGCTAAGATGGAGGGATTTGCTGGGAAAGCTCCGGCAGACTTTGTGGACGGGGAAATTTATCCCCCTATTGCACCTGCGTGGTTGTGAGCAAGAATGGGTAACCCAAAAGAACCTGGCAGCTTTACTACGGAACTACGCAGCACTTGGGCAGACGAACAAGTTTGCAGGACGCCATGTCAAAAAATTTTGGTCATGGGACATTTTACCTCCCATAACCTACTCTTCCCAAAGCTCAAAGAACTGTAGAATCGAACTCAACAGTCAAGAACGTGATGATTGTGCAGATTATGTATTGGCCAAACTCGCCCCTGTTTCTGGGGTGCAAATCCCCCATTTTGGTATCACTTTCCGTCAGCTAATGCTCGTTTCCCTGATCGACAGTTTTGCTACGAACCCTCTGTCAGCGCAAGCCTACAGATTGCAAACTAGGTAGGCACTTGGAGTAAGTCAATCAAGCTATCATCGCTATATATCATTGCTATACATCATCGCTACATATCATTGCTAGCTATCATTGCTAGCTATCATCGCTATTGCTACATATCATTTCTAGCTATCATTGCTAACTATCATCAATATATATCTTGATAAATATCATTCATTCAAGCAGATGAGTAGATAAATAGATCAATAAACAGTTAGATAATCATTTAATAAATCAATATTATCAGATAAAGAAATAACTAGATAATGATATTTATTCTTATAGAGATTAATTAAATGTTGAGCAGCTATATTGATTGAAAAATAGAAAGATAGATAGATAACTAGGTATCTAGCTAGCACTTTCAATTCTATTAGTAATTGACTGAATATTATATAAATAAATAAATAGCTATTATTCTCTTTCATCAATAATTAATTCAATATCAAATAAATAAGAATAAAAGCTATCAGTCAACTATAAATCAATATTTGATTCTTTAAAACTTTTATATAATTTTTAAAAACTTTATTTTACTTTGTTAAATAAGTTATCTGATACCCAATTCTATCTTAAAG